CACTACCAGGTCCATTGCAAATGAATGGTTTGCAGAACACGGAGGACCTACTGGCATGCGAAGTGTTTACCGACGAATGAGAAGTTTTGGCTTGTTTTCATACCGGCCACACTGGGTCATCCCTTTAACTCGAGAACACCGACGTAATCGCCTTGAGTGGTGCAGACAACGGTCACTCTGGGATCAGGAATGGAACAGTATTGTCTTTAGTGACGAGTCTCGATTTTGTTTAGGCATGCACGATGGTCGTGCCAGGGTTAGAAGGCGACGTGGTGAAAGGAGGAATCCACAGTTTTTTGTAGAAAGACATGTTCATCACACTGTTGGAGTTACGGTTTGGGGTGCTATAGCTTATGGTTCTAGGTCACCTTTAATCTTCATCAGAGGTAACATGAACGCGCAGCGTTATATCCACGAAGTTCTAGAACCCCATCTTTTACCCTATCTTGACACCCTGGCAGATCCAACTTTCCAACAAGATAATGCCCGGCCACATGTTGCAAGAGTCACAATAGACTTCTTTCAACATAATGATGTCACATTGTTACCATGGCCACCAAGATCTCCCGACTTATCCCCAATTGAGCACGTGTGGGATATGATGGGTAGGAGATTGCTCAATTTGCAACGTCCTCCTCAGACTCTAGAAGCACTTCGAGAGGAGTTGGTGGTTGCCTGGAATGAGATACCACAGGACGACATTGACCACCTGATCAGAAGCATGCCTAGGCGCGTTGGAGAATGCGTAGCACATCAGGGTGCATCCACACATTATTAAAGGTCAAAGGGCTTTAAAGAAGCGCAACCATTTTGAAATTTTTATCATTTACTTGTTATGCTTCATTAAGTACTTATGCAAAATTTTATTAAAATAAAACCATTTAAACTGGGTGTTCGGATTTATATGTCACTTAGTATACTATCACTACTAATTCCCTAATCTATTTTAATAAGGCCTTCAGCTGGTTTTATTCGTCTATTTCAATATGAAATTTTCATACGGAATCCTCCTACCAGCATATTATATCATCATCTTATTTATATACTGTATTTATTTCGTAGATTATCTATCAGATCGTATCGTATAATAAGCAGGCAATAAGGATTTGAATACTAAACAAGTTATTGCATTAAGAAACAACCGGAGCCTGGAGCATCTTAGATCACTGCATTCACACGGTTTCACGTCAGTGTCGCGGTGAATGAACATTCAGACGAAGCACTTGTGAGAGCGACTCAATACAAGGTGTCCGAAAAATATGAAAAAAAAAGTTTCTATAAAAGTGGGCCCGAAAATGCGGATTTTTCAAGATAGATAGATAGATTCTGTTAGAATCTTGCAATATTGTTTGTTGCATTAAGGCCGCTCCGACGCAGTGAGTTTCAAGCCATTTACAAGGGTTCGGCTGCTTCAAGACTGACACTCCATTTTTCAATATTTTTGAGTGAAATTAATACAGTATGTTGAGAAGATAATTGCCCAGGGTGCTATAGGAGCACTTTTTGAAATTTTGTTTTTGCACAAGTTTTATGATGGGTTGAAGTGCGCACTTTTTCTGTTCAACTTCGCGATTTTTTTAAAAAGAACTATAAAACTCTGTTGAGTATATGATGGAGTTTACTAGAACTTTACAGCTTGTTGTCTGCTTTTTTCTACAATCTTCACCAAATCGAGACGCTGTCAACCTTATCCTCCGATGAAGGCGCGACAAAGTACAGTCCTGTAATTTGGTGACTTGTTCGATCTGCAAAATCTCGTCGTCACTTTTTTCAAGTTTCCCTAAAAATTTTCGCTTAGCAACCTCCAAGTCAATGTAGTTAATGTCAGGTTTTTGAATGAATTCGCCATAAAACTATTCATTTTCTTTGGAGATGCTATCCGAATTGTTAGTTATTTTTATATCAGCTTTTTTTGTTCCGAGTTTCTTGCGTTTGAGTCTTTGTTCCATCTTAGCGCTAAGCGAGGTTGGACTATTGTATTGTATTGGATTGTATTGTATTGTTTTGTACCATGTATCCAGCTCTCACCATGTTACTGGACGTTTCCCTCATCCTATACGAAAACAACAATTAGCAACATCCTCACATACTACTGTAAGTTGATTCAATTTAAATTCATTTTACACTTTTGTTGCTACTGTTATCATTGTAATTGCAGCTCCTGATGATGATGGCAAAGTCCATTGAAAGCTAGAGATAATTAAAAAAGTATAAAGAGTCCTCTTTGCTTAAATTTTGTCGAAGTACCCAACAAAAGGCGGAAGCTTTAATTTTTCACCTATATGTATATATATATATATATATGTGTGTACATGTGTATATATGGTACCATTTTGTTTTGATTTCACTAATTTCCTGTGATTGGGTGTATACCTGTTGGAAATAAATATATTATTATTATTATTATTATTATTATTATTATTATTATTAATAGCTATTGGTCACTTGGCCATAAAACTACAAACAAGTGCAGGATTCGACAGGATTGAACTCAGGCTCGGGGTATCGCAGGTAGATTTCGAACCAACACCAGTTAGATACTCGGCTTGTATTATTATTATTATTAATTTTTTGAATACTATGTGAAATAATTATTTACTGGAAAAGAAATACGATTTGTTATCTGTCACATTGTCAGTGAAGGTGGCTTTGCGCATACTGCCCTATGGGTATTTGAGTGAAAGAAAACGACCGACTACCGACCATCATGAAGAAATGGACGCGATGGTTTGAAGGAAAGCTTGACGACAATTCCGTCATTGTCAGTGATAATGCTGCATACCACACTAGAAAACTAGGAAAAATTCCCACAATGTCCACAAGAAAGGCATCATTCCACAACGGCTCCTATCAAAAGGCATCAGTTTCAATGAAAATGTGGTCAAAGCAATAAATATAAATATAATCCTAATACTATTGACGAAATCGCTAAAAACCAAAATAAGACTGTTTTAGGGCTAGAAAACTATGTGGTTTCAAACGATAGAACATCCAAGTTTTCTAACGTGAAAAAATATCTTTTATGAAGCTGTCAACAGAGTGACGGAAAACCAATGTCATCTATCACTTACAAGAGACAATTGAAACAAAGATGTGGGACCTGGACAATATGATCGATATTCAAATTCAATATTGAATAAAAATAACCATTTATTTTGTTAGTTTATTCCAAGACCTTTGAGGAAAATGCGGACCTGTACAATCTCGCTGTTGGGCATGTTGTGTTTTGACTACGAATGTTAGAAAGAGATAGAAGCCGGCTAAAGACCGGTCATCACCACGTTTCCTAGCGACGGTGACGCAGAAGGTCCTGCAATTTGCGACGTTGCCAATATGTTACAACAAAAAGTGTTCGCACTGGCTTCTAAAATAGCTTAGGTTAACCCAACAAGAAGGTCTGTTCGAACATTTGTTTTAATTTTTTTTATATTTTTGTTAGAATTATAGGGTGGTCCTTCCATGTGTGGACGGAATATTACTCATAAACAAATACATTTTGGGAAAATCTATTTATGGCATGTTATACATCAAATTTGAGGGCACATTTCTAAAATATTGGCCAATATACAGGGCGCCCCAATTTTGACCTAAATATCAAAGTTGCAATTTCTCAAATGGAATGCTTCAAATTTTATTGCATATTTGGACAATTCAAAAGAATAAGATTGATATAACATACTATGGGGTTTTGGTAATTAGCTACTGAGATATAAGGTGTTTTGTCTAGAAAAATCCCCCTCAGTGCACCATTTTGAAATTTGGAGTGCTGAATTTTCTATCAAAACAAACCTGCACATCTCAGCTTTTGTCTTCTTTGTTACTTTTTCGAATTTTCGTTTTTGCTCATACAGGGTGGTCAAAAACGCAAATTGTAGTTTTTCTCAAAAATTTCAAATGCATCACCCTGTATATTTGTGCAAGTTTGGATTCAGTTTTTTACAAGCTTTTTTTATACTTGACACAAAAGGGTTTTTACGACTATTTTTTCTGTTATTAGCACCTCGGAAACAAATAAATTGTTGATTAGTTACAAACTGTCAAAATTAGCATTGTGAGCATTATAATCAAAAGTGTTTGAAAATGAATTTTTCTAAAAAAGAAATGGTGAATATGGTGTTCGTATAGTTTCCTAGCATCTCGCATTTATAAGCAACGGTACCCTAATATGTGTAATGAGACATCCATGGCCGGAAACATTTTCCACACTACTCGTACGAGAACGTTTTGAATCAAGTGGAGCAGTGGAATATAGTAAAAAATGTATAAATAATCCAAGAATATAACTAAGCCTGTGTTCAGTTGGTGGACAATCTGACCTCAGAGCGTGGTACTTTGGTCTTTGATACAAATGGTTCAGGTTTGGGCGCCACCTAGTTCCAAGAACTAGGAAAAAGAAATAACGACTACGAAGGCGGTTCAATAAGTACCCGTGTTAGAAATGAAGACACCATTTTTTCCAAAAAATATCTGTTTATTTTTCAACATCCCCTTTTAGAAAGAAACACTTTCGTTCCCATTTTCTTAACCTATCATCCACGTTTAAATTCATTGAACCAATATCTAACTGTGGTCATGGATGGCGAAGGGTCCCCAAAAACAGCATCCAACTTTGCTTTTATGTCCTCGCATTTGTTCCCATCCAAAAACAAAAAGCGAATTACCGAACGATACTGATCTTTTTCCATCTGAGCGAAAATCACGAAACAAGTGTTACTCGACTGGCTGCCAAATCCAAACTAACCTAACAATCAGACTGAAATTTGTTGTGCCGTCGTTTGATAGATGGCAGCACACGATGATAACATTAACTTATCTCAGGAACGCCCTCTGTCTTCAAAGACGGGTACTTATTGAACCGCCCTCGTAGTACCTTTCAGCCTATCAAAACTTAAACTGACTGCCAAATGATGGATCGCTGGAGCTAAAGGAATCACAAATTCACAAGGCACACAAACATTTATGAACAAAAAGTCCTGGGAGACAAGCAGAAGGAAATTATTTGGTACTAATCCCCAGATAAATTTGGTTCTCAGTGTATAATTCCATTCTAAAAACTGCGTTTTCTCGGCTAGCCAGCCCGACCTAGCAAATCTAGACTCCTAGTCGTTCTTTTCACACTTCAACTATTCCAAGACAAGCCCATTACAGATGCAGCATCGCGAGTGAATCTCTTAAATGCCAATCTTTCGCGTTTCTCCGAATTGGAATGTCGTCGGCGATCGGCCGTCCTGGTAGCGCGTTGATCACCGTCGCGGGTATTTTTTTCACGAAATTTGCGATTTTCGCGAATGCCAGGTTGATTTTGGACAATGTCAGCGTCGATGTCGACTTTGACAAGGAGCCGTTTGAGTTGGACGAAGTCGTGAACGGCGTTTTCACGCCGAAAGGGTGGAACTCCACATGGATATCTGGTGAGCAGTATTTTTGTTCTTCTAATGACACTTTTAATACAAATTTATAATTAATTATATATATATATATATGTTAACGCTAATATCCAAAATCCGCTAATATGCATAATAATTAGACATAATAGGAATTATGTGTAAATACTAAAACTGTCGGTAAGTATGCAAAATAACGGCGCGTATCAGGAATTATCGATAACTACTAAAATTGTCAGTAATTATGCAAAGTATCGCCATATTTTTAGTAAATATTGATAATAACTGACACAGCAATAGGAATTATGCATAATATCTGCTGTGTATATTAGTGATTATACATGTAACCTCACAAAATACGACTGGTCGTGCCTTGAAGCGTGCGTTGAAGTTTGATGTTATATTTTGATTGTTTTGTTGTTGGAGTTTCTCATCGCAATGACTGCACTACCTACTGATAACATTAAATTTAAATTTGTCGATGAAGTTAAGAAGTTGAAGGGAAGAACAAACTTACGATTGAACATTTTATTCAAGGAAGAATATGACGTGCCTTTATCCGAGGTAAGAATGATTTTAAACTAATATAGTGCCTATATTTTAACGTTTAATTCCTGACGTTTTTCTCTAGGTTAGGGATGCTTCATCAAATAATGGTTCCAAAACTCCATTACAGTATCGTAGACTTAAAAGATTTGGAATAGTTGAAGTCGGAAATATTGAAAAGCTTGTAACGCGAAATAAAGAGCAAACGGGAAAGGAAAATGAAGATTCTAATAATATAGTGATTGACGGGATGTTCGCTATGTTGTTCCCGTTGAAGAAATGTTTGATATTTTAACCATTTGTCACAGAAGTATAGGTCACGAAGGAAGAGATCGAATGAAGACCGAAATGTCCAAACAGTATTCGAATATCACACAAGGTTATCAACGATACAATTGCACAAAATTCTGCCAAAACAATACCTGCCGCGGTAAAAAAAATAATCGATTATGCAATAGTAAGTGCCATCAAAGCTCTTCTTGTTCCAATAAATAAATATAAATATAATAATATAAATAATTTTTATGTTGTAGTTTGAAATGTTACGGTTATGTTTTTTTTTTCGTTCTGATTCCTGAATATGTTTGATTTTCATCTATGCATACCATATAGTTTTGTAGAATTACATATATATTAAATGTTATGTAATAGTATACTTACTCGTAATATATTTCTATTTTATCATTAACTACATAGCATTTCAAATTTGACGTTACTTAGTTAATGACGTTACGTGATATTATGCTTAATCACTAACATAAGATATTGGTAGCTTCAGTATATACGCATAATTTCTAATTTGGACAGTGAATATGCATCATATCATCATCTGATTATTTTAGTACTTATTAATAATTCCTGATACGCGCCGTTATTTTGCATACTAACGGACCGTTTTAGTATTTACGCATAATTCCTATTATGTGTAGTTTTTATGCATATTAGCGGATTTTGGATATTAGCGGTAACATATATATATATACAGGGTGTTTCAGTTTATTGTTGCATAACTTTAAGATTCGATAGAACTTTTAAAATTAATGCATAAAGTCTATATAAACATGGGTCGTAAAATGCGTGGCTTCCGAAATACAGGGTGTTTAGATTTACTTTCTGAAATAGTTTTTTTTTAATATGTCGAACAATATTTGATGCATAACAGTGAAAATTGGTGTACAAGGGTTTTTTTGGTACGAAAAAACGAACCATGGGCATAGTTTTACTGTAGCCGCTAGAGGGCGCTCTCTACTGTACCTGTAGTGTATTAAAATGACCGAAAAATTTTTCTTAGTGCAATTTTTTGCTTTTTGAAAAGAAAAACTGATTCTTCGCACTTTTCAACATAAAAAAGCTCTCTTGTGAATTTTCGTTATAGTTAGCCGTTTTTGAGATATTTCGATCTTTAAGGTTCGATGCATTTTTAATTATGTATGATAAAATAACGTTAAAAAGTCAGTATCTCGATAATTTTTAGAAGTAGGCTGTGCCTGCAAATATTTTTGAAATTGAAGGCAGAATAAGGTCAACGTCAATTAGTTGACAGTTAGTTTTGTTGTCTGTTGAAACCTGAAACGTTTTTTTGCAATTGTGAATGCACGAAATTTAATTTCCTTTACCTGTGCATTGAACAATTGGGTTTATATTTCGAGCAACTACTTTAGATTTTGTATGTTTGTCCTTACTATTCAATAGCACTTTAGCTGTAAATAATTAATTTAATTTGTTAAAAATAATATTGGAAAATTAAACAAATTAATATTCTGTTTTTTTGTGTTTATTTGGAGTTAGGAATTATTGCTGTGTTTAAAAACACAATTTAAACGATCATCTTAATTACTTGTAATGCCCAAATCGAAAATGTAAAAAAAAATATTATTTTCCCATAAATAATTAAAAATGCACCGAACCTGAAAAATCGAAATATCTCAAAAACGGCTAACTATAACGAAAACTCACAGAAGAGCTTTTTTATGTTGAAAAGTGCGCAGAATCAGTTTTTTTATTCAAAAAGCAAAAAATTGAACTAAGAAAAAATGTTCGGTCATTTTAATACACTACAAGTACAGTAGAGAGCGCCCTCTAGCGGCTACAGTAAAACTATGCCCATGGTTCGTTTTGTCGTATCAAAGAACCCTTGTATACCAATTTTCACTGTTATACATCAAATATTGTTCGAAATATTTAAAAAAACTATTTTAGAAGGTAAATTTAAACACCCTGTATTCCGGAAGCTACGCATTTTTGTTTATATAGACTTTATGCATTAATTTTAAAAGTTCTATCGAATCTTAAAGTTATGCAACAATAAACTGAAACACCCTGTATATCGCAAATATTTCATTTCTTATTTTTAAATGAAAAACTAGGATGTAACTTTTACGAAAATATCATGTACTCTCTGCTTGCTATTTTATAGAACTTCAAAGTTGCATTTTTGGTGGTAATACTGTTTTATATGCTGTTTTTTTGATGCTTGCACAAAAGGATGCTCAAAATTATGAGAATATAACATACACTGTATGGTACTAAGGAAAATGAATGTGAAACTTAAAAAAATCGTTGTTTTTTGCAAAAAACAGGGACAAACCTAGCCGTGTAATGAGCTAAGATAACAGTTCAAAATACATACCATAAATGATGCTATTTACTTGGTAAACTGTGTAGAGAAGTTTTGCTGATATATTTTCAATGTCTTCTTGAAATTCTTTAACCATTTTGTCTCGCGCATTTTCAATTAGATCAAAGTTTTTGCGTTTAATAGGAATATTTGAAAGTACAGATAATTCTCAATAGCTATTTCATAACGTTCATTTCTTGACAGATAAGATAAATGGTGTCCATTGTTGCCAAGTTGTACTTTTTTTGGGAGAAATACGTAAGAAAAAAATGAGGTTACTTGTAAGATAAAAGTCTTAATTCATTGTGAATGGCGTGTTTTATAAGAAGTTATCCCAATATTTACTGAAAATTAGATGAACTTTTGAACAGTACGCGTCTAAACAGTGGAAAATGCACCAGCGGCTCGCGTGACCAAAAAAACAAAAAGTACCAGCGGTCATTGCAGCTTTACTTTAAATAATTCAAGTACATGCACATAAAAAGTAACTAATTATAACTATCATATAGGAAAAACAATAACCGGAGAATTTTTGAGAAGGGCATACGACATGCTTCAAGCTAGCTAACTCTATCGTAGGGCACGAGGTAGATTTAGTACAGGAAAATCCATATTATACCTCCAAATCGCATTTTCATGGCAATCCTGTGCCGATTGCACATTTTTGCGATAGTACAAATTTGACAAACCAAATCAAGGATTTGGCAACATTGCGACTAGATGGAGAAAAGATAGTGATGGTGGTGTAGTGATGGGAACATTTATCTGAAATAATAGAAATGACTAATTTTTGTTTGGCATTAGAACTAGGTGTTCATGCAGCCAGTCACTAGGCATTATATGAATGATGGATAATCGGTTTGATTTTGGATTCATGTTTTTCCAAACTGAAAGCCTCCTGTTATAGTGGAATGATGCTAGGGATCTTCACAGAGGACACTTCTTCACGCTTCAGGGGTCAGTCAGTGCGACTTCTTACAGGTGCACAGGTAGACCACGGTAATAGGAGGGATTTAACAAATAGGCAGGCAGCAAGGGTATGTGAGGTGATTATAGGTTTACATTGATCGAATAGATCAATTCAGCCAGGCTGTCGTAGATCTCCTCTCTATTTAAGCATGGTAGATGTATGAGGTTAAAAGGAGTCGGTACCTTTAAGTCCGTTACTCTGTTCATTAGTCACAGAGATTGACTCCTATTGTTCTGACAACCCAAGAACAGGTGGTCGAGATTTCCAGTTTCATTACATCTTGTGCATAGGTCAGTGTCCAGTACGCCAATCCGATTTAGATGCTCTCGGTAATATGCGTGTCCAAATCTGATTCTTATCAGTGTCAGGTTTTTCTGTTGTATTTGTAATTACTAAACCAGGTGGATTTAGAGATTTCGGGTTGTATTAATACATATCTAATACATACCAACCTTATTTTGTAGTTTTTGGCATTTAGTTTATGAAGGAACTGCTTTATTTTCAAGATGTATGGGTTAATATAAGGGTTATTTATGTCGACTAGATTAGCTATACTTTGCAAGACTGTAAACTGTCTGATATTATAATCTTTTTGATAATTCACTGGACAACAAATTTTAGTTTTTTAATTGTATCTTGTGGGAAAAGTGCACTTCTTTGTTAATTTTGGGGCGCTGAATCCAAAAATGACAATGAAATAAAAAAATTAGTTGCGGTTTAGAAAAAAAACTTTTTATTTTTAAGGATATATCAAAAAAAGTAACAAGATTCATATACTTATAAGAATCACTATATGCTCTGTCTTTTTGCTGTTCTTTTATGGATCGTTTCTGGAGCATCTCTACCAAGAGTCCAACAGTAGTTTGCAAGCATGGAAGGATTGCACTTTCCCTGGTACCTTTTTTCCATTGTTGAAATATCCTGATGAAAACGTTCGCCGTGCTCATCACTTACGGCTCCGCAATTGTCAGGAAAAAAGTCCAGGTGTGAGTGTAGAAAATGTATCTTAAGAGACATATTACAGCCCATCTTTTGATACTATGACAGCATATTTTTGACAAGGGTTTTATAGTTGTCAGCTTTTTTATTTCCCAAGAAATTAGTGACCACCAGACGGAAATCATTCCAAGCAGTTTTTTCAATACCTGTTAAAGTGTTTTCAAACTGTGTATCTTTCAAAATATTTCGAATCTGTGGCCCAACAAAAATACCTTCTTTAACCTTTGCTTCACTTAGTCTTGGAAATTTCTGTCGCAGGTATTGAAAAGTTGACCCATCTCTATCTAATGCCTTGACAAAGTTTTTCATTAGGCCCAACTTGATATGCAGTGGTGGTAATAAATTTTTTTTCGAATCTACTAATGGCATATGCTGTACATTTTTATGACCTGGCTCTAGGAATTGACGAACAGGCCAGTTTTGTCTCGTGTAATGAAGTGCCTTTGCCCGACTGTCCCATTCACACAAAAACAGCAAGACTTTGTGTAGCCTAGCTGCAGCCCAAGTAAAAGTGCAACAACTTTCAAATCGCCACAAATATGCCACTGGTGCTCATCGTATTTTATGCATGTCAATAGGTACTTCATATTGTCATATGATTCTTTCATGTGAACTGCATACCCTACAGGAAGAGATGGTAAAATATTTCCAATATGCAATAACACTGCCTTTAAACTCAATGTTGAACTGTCTATAAACAATCTCCATTCTTCTGGGTTATAGTTTATATTTAAAGCCGCCAGTAAGCCGTTAATGTTACTGCAGAAAACCAAGTTATTCTCCATATTGAAAAATGGTTCTAAGTCTTTGTGGCGTTTACGAAAAACACATACCGAAACATCGTCTTCTAACAAGTTCCACTGCTGCAGTCTTGATCCAAGTAACTCTGCCTTACATTTTGGAAGTTCTAAATCTCTTACAAGATCATTTAATTCTGACTGTGTTATTTTGCGCGGTTGGTGGCATGACGTGCTCGGTATAAAATCAGGATCTCTTGACGTTGATGACATATTTTCTTCCTGACGAATCACTCGATCGCCATGATCTGATTCGTTTTCTGATTCGCAAGTGTAGGATTCTGGGAGTTTTGGAATAGGATTTTCGTCTCTGTGAGGCACAGGTCTCATCGCAGATGGTATGTTTGGGTAGTTAATAACCGATTTTTTTTTCTTGGACATACCTGTGGCTTGTCCAACACAAGGTACCATGCAAAAGTAACAATCATTAGTATGATTTGTAGGCTCTCTCCAAACAACCATTGGGACAGCAAAGCGCATAGACCGTTTTTTGCCATTTAACCAGCTCCTCAGACTTGAAGCACATGTATTACAGCAGATGTGGGGTGCCCACTGTTTGTCTTGATCACCTAGTTTACAACCGAAATAAAGCTGATATGGCTTTGTTATTAGTGGAGTAATAGACCGTCTCTGAGACGCAAAGGTCACATCACCACACACGTAACAAAACTGATCTGGATTGTTTACACACTTTCGAGACATCTTGCATGAACGCTGTCAGCCAACTGAGGAAAAAATGGCTAATATAAAACAATATAATGTACACGTATGTATAACGTAACACAATCATGCCGATTACATCATCTTTCCTTGCCGAATATAAAAATGTAGCACGTGCATTCTTGTGAATTACAGTATATTAACACTGTCACAGCAGGAACACATATAATTACCGTATCTCTAAAACTTGAACTAATATTGAAAAAATAAGTTTCATTCCGGTTTTAGCACATTAAAAATAGTAATATTTTGTTGATTTTATTTAGGATATTTTTTGGCTGTTGATCAGTGATTACCTTGGAATCTACGTATTCCAAGGCTTTGAGAATAACAATGGCTTCAGCTGTGAATATAGATGTAAGACTGTTCAATTTGAGTCTTGATAGGGTTGTGCAATAAAGGCACAACCTGTTCCTTTGCGGTCCTTTGAAGCGTCAGTATAGATGTTAACGTATTCTAGATACGGATTCAACAGTTCTCTAAGACAGTTCTTTTCGGTAGAGGGAATGTAGTTTGGTAAAATTAAGTTGTGTTTCTCAAGGGAAATGAAAAATTCTTGACAATTCCGGGATGACTGGAATTTAGATAAATTGCCTATTTCTAGTCTGGAATTCCTAAATGCTTCACAAAGCAATCGCATTTTCATGGCAATCCTGTGCCGATTGCACATTTTTGCGCTAGTATATAAGTTAAAATTTGACAAACCGAATCAAGGTATATTACTATCCAGGATCTGGCAACATCGCGACTAGATGGAGAAATGATAGTGATGGTGGTGTAGTGATGGGAACATTTATCTGAAATAAGAGAAATGACTACTTAACAATGATCATCATCATTAAAATAATGCAAACTTGCATTATTGCGATGAACAGTCTCACAGTAGTATACAGTGTATGTTATATTCATATAATTTTTAGCAACCTTTTATGTAAGTAAAAAAAAAATTTTATAATGTAAATTAACTCTCTTATTATGCAACTTTTGTGTAGGTGATTTTTGGTATATCAAATTCTTATAAAGAGACAAGCTGTTAAAATAAATGACTCAGCTTTGAAAACACCCTGTATAATTTTTTCATTTTTTTAAGAAACTGCCTTTATCCATAAGAATGAAGATGGCGATGTCTTCAAGCACGACATGCAAAGAAAAACTAGCAAACTCTTGCTACAGTCCAAAGTACTGGTAAGATAACAAGTACTTAAAAGGATAATCACAAACAGCTATGAAACTCTAATTTTATCCTTTTTGCAGCAAAAATATCCAGGAGCAATTATATATTTGTCAAAGGATGAGAAATTTTTTCTCTTCAGATATAACATAACCAGGGTAAGAACAATTTAACGAATATTCTAATCGAAAAAATAATACTTTTCAGGTTTTCTAGGTTTACAGGTACTCTGCATTGTCTCAGTATAAATTGTACGAGATTGACACAGGGTAAGAAATAAATACAAGACGTTTAACAATAAAATACCATTGCTTTGTCAGTCGCATGTAAAGCATCCGGTATATTTTCGGTTTTCAGCCAAACATACGATCTGGATAATTTGAACAAACTCCAAATAGCGCAATTTGGTTCTGTAGGGCATAGCGTGGTTTATGTGAGAGAAAATAACATTTATTACATTCCTACTATAAGCGATATCCAAAAGCCTATACAAATTACCAACTTTGGAGTGCCGTTGTTGATATACTGTGGAGTACCAGACTGGATTTATGAAGGTACTCTTTCTTTATTAATTTCTCATTGCAAAATATTTTGAGGGTCCTGGAATGGTCCCAATTTAAAACAGGTCGCATGTTGATACGATAATACAGGGTGCTGCAGCATATCTTCCTTTCTACAGGGTGTTTCAGTTTATTGTTGCATAACTTAAGGATTCGATAGAACCTTTAAAACTAACGTATAAAGTTTATATAAACATGGGTCGAAAAATGCGTGGCTTCCGAAATACAGGGTGTTTAAATTTACTTTCTAAAATGGTTTTTTTTTAAATATTTCGAACAATATTTGATGTATAACAGTGAAAATTGGTATACAATGGTTTTTTTGCACGACAAAATGAACCATGGGTATAGTTTTACTGTAGCCGCTAGAGGGCGCTCTCCACTGTACCTGTAGTGTATTAAAATGACCGAAAATTTTTTCTTAGTGCAACTTTTTGCTTTTTGAATAAAAAAACTGATTCTTCGCACTTTTCAACACATAAAAAAGCTCTCTTGCGAATTTTCGTTATAGCTAGCCGTCTTTGAGATATGTCGATTTTCAAGGTTCGATGCATTTTTAATTATTTATGATAAAATAACGTTAAAAAGTCAGTATTTCGATAATTTTTAGAAGTAGGCTGTGCCTGCAAATATTTTTGAAATTGAAAGCGGAATAAGGTTAAACGTCAGTTAGTTGACAGTTAGTTTTGTTGTCTGTTGAAACCTGAAACGTTTTTTTGCAATTGTGAATGCACGAAATTTAGTTTCTTTTACCTGTTTTTTTTTTGTAAGTTTTATAAAAATGCCATTTGTATTCCCCAATCAAGAGTTAGCGGATATTCATTTTGTGTATGGCTTTGTAAATGGAAACGCAGCAGAAGCAGCCAGAGAATACGCACGAAGATTTCCAAACAGACGACATCCAACTCGCTCAGTATTTGTAAGAGTGCATCGCCAAATAATTGAAAATGGTTTTGGAAATCTCCAAAGGGATCAAAACATAAATGTTCGTCAGCGCAGATTTACCCGTATGATTCTGCGTGAGTTTGATAGAGATCCGACCACAAGTGTTAGGAGAGTTTCTGGTGCCATGTCCACCGTGTTCTTAGAAATGACCATAGACGTCCTTACCATTTGCAGCCTGTTTTAGGACTACAGCCAGGGGACGGAGAACGAAGAATCACATTTTGTCAGTGGATTCTTGATAGAACTGATAATAATAGGGAGTTTTTAAGTAACGTTTTATGGGCCGATGAGTCATGCTTCACTAGACGTGGAGTGGTAAATTTTCATAATCAACATATTTGGTCGCATGAAAATCCGCATGCAGTTCGGGAACGAAATTTACAGCATGAATTTAGTGTGAACGTGTGGATTGGTATCTACCGTAATCGACTATTTGGACCCTACCTTTTGCCTGCAAGGTTAAATGCTGCGACCTTCTTGGAAGGAATTATTGCTGTGTTTAAAATCACGATCTAAACGATCATCTTAATTACTTGTAATGCCCAGATCGAAAATGTAAAAAAAAATATTATTTTTCCATAAATAATTAAAAATGCATTGAACCTTAGAAATCTAAATATCTCAAAAACGGCTAACTATAACGAAAGTTCACAAGAGAGCTTCTTTATGTTGAAAAGTGCGAAGAATCAGTTTTTCTATTCATAAAGTAAAAAATTGCACTAAGAAAAATTTTTCGGTCATTTTAATACATTACAGGTACAGTAGAGAGCGCCCTCTAGCGGCTACAGTAAAACTATGCCCATGGTTCGTTTTTTCGTACCAAAAAACCCTTGTATACCAATTGTCACCGTTATACAGCAAATATTGTTCGAAATATTTAAAAAAAACTATTTTAGAAAGTAAATTTAAACACCATGTATTTCGGAAGCCACGCATTTTTCGACCCATGTTTATATAGACTTTATGCATTAATTTTAAAAGTTCTATCGAATCTTAAAGTTATGCAACAATAAACTGAAACACCCTGTATATTTGTGTGACTATTTTCTATGGGCTTTTTTTAAAACCTGTGTTTATATGAACCATTCAAAGACCCTACGAGAAAGAAAAAAAGAAAGGTAAAAAACCGCCTAATCGACAACTGTATTAAGGCTGTAACCATGGAGTTTCTCACCAGGCGTAAACCTCCTACTAATATTAATAACAACTTTAATGGATCTCTAATAAAACCATCCAATCATTTAAATTGTTAAGTATCATCTTAGACTCACTTCTGTCATAGAAAGGAAACGCCAATTCAGTATGCGCAAAGCTTGCTGAATATTATTTTGTGATAAGTGAATAGTGCCTTCGTTATAGAAGCCTTGATGAATATTTATATATTATTATTGTTTATTTATTTCATATTGTATTGTCTTGTGGGGGAAGGCCAAAGACGTCCAGCTTGTTTTCATCCTCCAAAAAAGGATCACCTATTTGATTCTTAAATTTCACCATCAGTCATCTTGCAGGGAAATATTCAAACATTATCGAATTCTTACTGTGGCATCTATTTATGTTTTCAAGCTTTTACTGCATTTTTTCGAAAATAAAAGTAAATTTGAAAGACATTTCTATATGCATAATTACAATACTCGTAACCAAGGCAATTTCAGTAACAATAAATTTTATCACATCTACTATAAAAAGTCTCTAGTTCATGATCGATGTATGCTTTCCTGCTTCCAGCTGACATTACGTCACTGAAACTAATATACACTTGTTTGTATTATGCTGCCACACCCTATATTAAAACTTTCTTAAAGATGCAGATTGAGCGTTGGACTAGCTTTTTTAGTTTAGTGCAGTGTACCTTATCAGAAAAGTTGTTTATTGATTTGTAGAGGAAGTGTTAGAATCGGCATCGGCAATGTGGTTTTCACCCAATGCTACGTACCTTGCATTTGGTACATTCTATGACGAAAATGTTACGTTTTTCTCTTATATCCAATACGGAGAACCTGGAGAACAACAGTATCCAACTGTCAAAAGTATCAAGTATCCAAAGGTAAGATGATATAAAATATTATTGCAGGCATGTTTTTATACTAAGTGACATATAAATCCGAACACCCAGTTTAAATGGTTTTATTTTAATAAAATTTTGTATAAGTACTTAATGAAGCATAATAAGTAAATGATAAAAATTTCGAAATGATTGCACTGCTTTAAAGCCCTTTGACCTTTAATAATGTGTGAATGCACCCTGATGTGCTACGCATTCTCCAACGCGCCTAGGCATGCTTCTGATCAGGTGGTCAATGTCCTCCTGTGCTATCTCATTCCAGGCAACCACCAACTCCTCTCGAAGTGCTTCTAGAGTCTGAGGAGGACGTTGCAAATTGAGCAATCTCCTACCCATCATATCCCACACGTGCTCAATTGGGGATAAGTCGGGAGATTTTGGTGGCCATGGTAACAATGTGACATCATTATGTTGAAAGAAGTCTATTGTGACTCTTGCAACATGTGGTCGGGCATTATCTTGTTGGAAAGTTGGATCTGCCAGGGTGTCAAGATAGGGTAAAAAATGGGGTTCTAGAACTTCGTGGATATAACGCTGCGCGTTCATGTTACCTCTGATGAAGATTAAAGGTGACCTGGAACCATAAGCTATAGCACCCCAAACCATAACTCCAACAGTGTGATGAACATGTCTTTCAACAAAAAACTGTGGATTCCTCCTTTCGCCACGTCGCCTTCTAACCCTGGCACGACCATCGTGCATGCCTAAACAAAATCGAGACTCGTCACTAAAGACAATACTGTTCCATTCCTGATCCCAGAGTGACCGTTGTCTGCACCACTCAAGGCGATTACGTCGGTGTTCTCGAGTTAAAGGGAGGACTCAGTGTGGCCGGTATGAAAACAAGCCTTGCAATGGACCTGGTAGTGGAGGAACGGTCCCTTAAGGCCAATAATCTTAGGCGGTGATCTTCACGGTCTGTTGTTCTACGGCGGCGTCCAGTGCCCCTTGCTCTTTGCGTACGGCCTCCTCGAAGCCATGCCTGACAACACCTAACCACAGTGTCTACACTTCTTTGCACTCTAACTGCAATTGCCCGAAAAGAAAGTCCAGCTTCCCGAAGTCCCACTATACGGCCCCTATCAAACTCACTAAGTTGACGAAATCGTACAGGCATCGTAACCGATCGTAAAGGATGTCAAGAACCAAAATCCGCCAACGTTGATTCTTTACTGCGGCTGAAATATTCATTTTTAGAGCGTTAGTGAATTAAAAAAAAGCAGTATAAAAACCGGAATGTCCAACTGATAAGGCTGAAAATTTTTTCACTTGTTATTTACAGTAAGATAAATACATTCACCAACTTTTATTAAAACAAAACCATTTAAACTGGATGTTCGGATTTATATGTCACTTACTATATTTACTCATAAAATGTTTCATCATATAGCCAATAAAACTGCTTATCGCGGATCACATTACACGTTCATCGAGTATGCATCTTTTACACTACATAATTGTTTTCTTCAAGGCAGGTTCACCAAATCCAATAGCAGTTGTCTACGTTTACAACTTTTATACAGGACGTTTGGTTGAACTTCAATTACCATCCGACGTAGATAACAAAAATAAGAACGACTACATCCTGTTCGGACTATCATGGATATCAGAGACAGAAGTTGTGATGGTATCTTCCAACAGGGTACAGAATGAGTCGTTTACAGTTAGATGTACCGTGGAAGGTGTATGTAAAATGGTAAGTATATACTCTTTTATACCCAAGGTTTCAAGGAGGCAAAGATGGATCGGCCGTGGAGGACCAGTCGCCTGGCCTCCACGATCCCCTGACCTAAATCCATTAGATTTCTTTGTGTGGGGATTTCTAAAAGAAAAAGTGTACCAGACTCCCGTAACCACAAGAGATATGCTAATAGACAGAATCAGGAATGCTTGTGATGAAATAAGGCCTTATTTGAATAATGCTATACCAAGTTCGATCATTCGTAGATGTGAATTGTGTATTGATTGGGTTTACATTTCGAGCAACTACTTTAGATTTTGTATGTTTGTCCTAGCTATCCAATAGCATTTTAGTTGTAAATAATTAATTTAATTTGTCAAAAATAATATTGGGAAATTAAACAAATTAATATTCTGTTGTTTTGTGTTTATTTGAAGTTAGGAATTATTGCTGTGTTTAAAAACACAATCTAAACGATTATCTTAATTACTTGTAATGCCCAAATCGAAAATGTAAAAAAAATATTATTTTCCCGCAAATAATTAAAAATGCATCGAACCTTAAAAATCTAAATATCTCAAAAACGGCTAACTACAACGAAAACTCACAGAAGAGCTTTTTTATGTTGAAAGGTGCGAGGAATCAGTTCTTTTAATCTAAAAAGAAAAAATTGCACTAAGAAAAATTTTTCGGTCATTTTAATACACTACAGGTACAGTAGAGAGCGCCCTCTAGCGGCTACAGTAAAACTATGCCCATGGTTCGTTTTTTCTTACCAAAAAACCCTTGTATATCAAATATTGTTCGACATATTAAAAAAAAAACTATTTTAGAAAGTAAATTTAAACACCCTGTATTTCGGAAGCCACGCATTTTACGACCCATGTTTATATAGACTTTATGCATTAATTTTAAAAGTTCTATCGAATCTTAAAGTTATGCAACAATAAACTGAAACCCCGGAATATGTATAATTAATTATAAATTTGTATTAAAAGTGTCATTAGAAGAACAAAAATACTGCTCACCAGATATCCATGTGGAGTTCCACCCTTTCGGCGTGAAAACCCCGTTCACGACTTCGTCCAACTCAAACGGCTCCTTGTCAAAGTCGACATCGACGCTGACATTGTCCAAAATCAACCTGGCATTCGCGAAAATCACAAATTTCGTGAAAAATTTTGTCGTGCCAAAAAACCCTTGTATACCAATTTTCACTGTTATACATCAAATATTGTTCGAAATATTTAAAAAAGACTATTTTAGAAAGTAAATTTAAACACCCTGTATTTCGGAAGCCGCGCATTTTTCGACCCATGTTTATATAGGGTTTATGCATTAATTTTAAAAGCTCTATCGAATCTTAAAGTTATGCAACATTAAACTGAAACACCCTGTATAAGAATTACACTACATCACACACCCAACCAAAAGGACCCAACCCCTATTCGTGACTATCCTGGTATGTTTTGAGAAAAACGCTCAGACACGTCCGTTGATTTCTAGGGGGACGTGTTACACCTATAGCCGTACAATATATATTGCGTTATTTTCTAGATGTCTAAATGAAAACCCCCCATTTTTTTAATTTTTAGATTTTCTATGAAGTGTTTACTAATCTTTTTATAATAAATTTTATACCTATGTTCAATCGTTGTGAAGGTAGTTGAGTTTATAATAAAATTCGACTAACTTAATACTGATAATAATGGGATGCACGCCAAGAAACAATAGTCATGGATACCAGCAAGAACATTTACCATCAGTCAGTGTCATTGTATGTCGTCGAAAAACTTTATCTTCTATTTTAAATTGTTAAGTTGTGATAAATATTGAATAATAATAATAATTTATTCACATCAATTAAACATTGTGAACAAATGCATATGCCACAAAAGGAAAATAAAACACAACACATATAATATGGGGTTGTCCAAAACGGAAGCAGAAAAGTAAACGCATAGTAAAACAAGAAAGATTGATATTCAAATCAAGTTGGGTACTTTATTTTGAAGGTTCATTTATACCATTTATGTATGAAAAATAATATCGCTCAAATGTTCACCACGACTGGATTTACAGACGTCCACGCGATGGTCGAAATTTTCAATGACAATTTGCAACATGGTCGGTTCTATGGCATTTATCTCGGCAATGATGTTGTTTTTGAGTTCTTGGAGGGTGGCTGGTTTGTTGACGTAGACTTTGCTTTTCGAATATCCCCATAAAAAGAAGTCCAAGGGAGTCGAATCGCACGATCTTGGTGGCCATGGCACATTTCCTCTGCGCGAAATCACGCGATCACCGAAGAAGGACTGCAATCGATGGATATTGACGTTGGTTGTGTGGCATGTTGCACCGTCTTGTTGGAAATAAACATCGTCCATATCCATTCCTTCAAGTTGCGGCAAAAAATAGTCCTCTATCATCACGTGATATCGCTCAGAATTGACGGTAACGGCGTCCCCGGCCGCATTTTCGAAAAAGTAAGGTCCGATGATGCCTTTTGACCACAATGCACACCACACAGTAACTTTTTGAGGATGCATCGGCTGCTCTTGATACTCACGGGGATATTCGTTCGCCCAGATGCGGCAGTTTTGCTTGTTTACCGTCCCATTCAAAGTGAAATGCGCTTCGTCGCTGAACATGATTTTTGATGAAAAATTGGCATCAATTTGGCGGTGTTCAAGGAGCCAATCTGAGAACGTTCGGCGCGAAAAATGGTCGGCCCGACGCAGCTCTTGCGTCAGTTGGATCTTGTAGGCGTCTACATTCAAGTCCTTGTGGAGAATGCGGAGCAAACTGGTTCTCGAAATGCCCAATTCTTGGGATCGTCGCGTTGTTGATTGTTTCGGATCGTCTCTCACACTCTCCTTCACAACAGCAATATTTTCCGGTGTGCGAACGCTCCTTGGCCGGCCAGAGCCTGGCAGATTTGCCACAGAACCTGTTGCCTCGAATTTACGCACCAGGCGACCGATGGTTGTTTCGTTTGGGCGGTTGTTGCGATCGAAATGTTCACGAAGTGCGCGAAACGTGTTTTTTATTTTTGCACCATTTTTGTAGTGCTCTTGAATAACTTTATTGCGGTCTTCAATCGAATACGACTCAATAGCGATCAATGGTAAACATTCAACTAACAAAATGACATGTCGGTGACAGAAAACAAAGATGGCGTCTATGTCAAATTGACGTTTACTTTCCTGCGTCCCTATTGGACAACCCTTCATAACATAGCAGTTATAATAAACTGATAGGACTAAAAAAACAATGACTTATTTAATTCACGAAAGGGTAGACAGAACAAAACTGCATCACCAAAAATCTAAGATTGAGTGTTTGTTGAGAATTTTGCTAAATTCGTTTGTCCTTGAGATGATGTTTGAAAATCCACGTTGCATAGGAATAGAGAAAGCTATGAAAGATCGACTTTTTCTAGGAAGATCATCAAGTGGAGCATCAAGGTTGGATTGAACCTAAATTACCGGTCTACAGTAAAAATGGTACGCTGAAGGTAGAAATTCTTCCAGAAGAAGAGGCTGACGATAGATATTTTCATATAGTTTTCACAGACTTGGAACAAGGTACTAGAAAGAGATTAACTTACGGAAGAACAACTGCCTTGAAGATTCACGGGTGGGACGAAGAAGAAGGGCTGATGTAAGTAAATTAACAAATAATATTCTATTATAGGTAGACTGAATGTTAGCCTTCATATCGTTAACATTAACATTTGAACGTTTGACGTCTCCTTGATCATGGATTCCATTAAGTAATGAAATTCAACTAGATAATAATGACTATTTCTCTCGTCTTAATTTCTACCAATCATAAATGCGTAGTTTTGAATTACAAATGGTTTCTAGATAAAAAAAAAGTGTATGACAGCACCTGTCTGCAGCTTTTTCCATTTTACTCACGGCAAAACTTGACAGCTGTTGTCACCAAAAATTACAATACATTTGATAACGTGTAATTATGGTCTCTTAGGACAAACGAATATAAACAAATTTTCTGTTTTTATTGTCAATAGATTTTGTAATATTGTTTTAATTTAAACATTTTAAAATGTTCTAACTGTATGAACTATAACGTTAAGCATAATAAGAATAATGATGTTGGTCACTCGCCCACAGACAAAAAATGCCCGTCGTATTTATATTTTCAAAAACAGTATTCATCCAGAATAATGTTTTGAGCGTTTAGTTCTTTTTACGTTTTTCGAGCTACATATCATTTGCAAAATTTTACATGGATAGTTACATAAATAATTTTCAGGTTAATGATATCAATACAAATATTGCTCAAGACGCAAATGCTCTTAATAAATGGTTAGAATATTCTAATTTCAATGTTAGCTTATATCACATGAATATACGAAGCCTAAACCAAAATTTTGACTGTTTTAGTATCTTCCTAACTACAATTAAACACAAATTTGATATAATAATATTAACAGAAACTTGGAAAATCACTGATGTATCTTTGTTCTGTTTGGAAGGTTATGATACGCTTTACAATAATGGTACGTACAACAAGAATGATGGGGTGGTAGTATATGTAAGAAATGATATCAACTACAGATGTGATTTTGTTAAATTTGATGACGGTATCACAGTGTTGGATTTGATATTGAGAATTAATAACAAAAGTGTAAAAGTCACATCTGTCTATCGACCACCATCATCAAACCCTTATACATTTGTAGAAAATCTTGAAAAAATTTTGTTAGATAACAAAAATGCCATACAGTCACACCACATCATAATAGGAGATATGAATATTAATATACTCCAACATACCAAATTAGTAAACAAATACCTCACTGTAATGCAGAGCAATGGATTCATATCAAATACAAATTTACCAACAAGAGTAGTCAATAATAGTTCCAGTTCTTGCATTGATCATTGTTTCATCAAAAAAATATCAAATTTCTTTCGGTACATACCGTTAATTGTTGAAAACCATATTACCGATCATTTACCCACTGTAATACTTATATCATCACCAGAAAAAAATAAAAGTAGATCGATCTCCAATAATGAAACAGTGAAATTTAGGTGTTTTGTCAATAATAAAAAACTACTTGCAAATATCAAAATAGAATCGTGGACAGCAGTGTACTGTGCAACGAATGTTAATGATGCTGCAAACACACTCATTGAACGCATAAAATATTTAATTGAATGTAGTACGGAGTTAAAATTAAACATTTTGACAGAAGCAGGAATCCCTGGATAACTAAAGGTTTGATAAAGTCTGCCAACAAAAAAGAGGAACTATACAAAATAATGAAAGCACCGCCATGTGCAGATACCTCCCTTAAATATAAAGAATATAAAAATATTTTTATCAATCTAGTTAGAGAAGCAAAACGCCAATTCTATCTAAAAAAATTACAAGATGCCAAATCTGATCCAAGAAAACTGTGGTCAGTTGTCTATCACTTAACTAACAAAGACGTTCAAGAAAAGCCAAATTACTTAGCCGAACCACTTTCTTACGTCATTAATTGGTGTTTCCAATCTGGAATTTGTCCTGATGCATTTAAAACAACTGTTATTACTCCTGTTTATAAAAGCGGTGACAGAATGGAAACATCAAATTATAGACCCATATCAGTACTATCGAATATAGCCAAAAATTTCGAAAAATTACTACAAAAAAGGATATTACAATTTTTGGACAAAAACTAAATTATATGTTCTGACTAATATGGATTTAGAAAAGGAAAATCTACTAAAGATGCAATTTTGGCTGCAATGGATGAAATTAACTCTAATGTCAACAAAAAGATACCTACCCTGGTATCTTTGTTGATCTAAAAAATGCCTTTGATACGGTTAATCATGTCGAGCTTCTAAAAGTTATGGAAAGATTGGGATTTAGGGGAGCGTCACAAATCCTTTTAAAAAATTACCTTTCAAGTCGGGCACAGACTTACAAAATCACTAACACTTACAGTAAAAAAATGTACATCAAGTGTGGTGTGCCTCAAGGAACAGTACTAGGCCCACCATTATTTAGTCTCTACTTAAATGACTCATTCAAAATTTACAGTTCTGGAAAGATTATATGTTTTGCAGATGACACCCTCGTATTATATAAAGCTGATGACTGGAGCACACTGAAGCAAATAGCTGAAAAGGATCTTATAAGGATCATTGACTGGCTTGATACTAAAATTTTAACAGTTAACTTCAAAAAAACAAAATTTATTGCATTTACATCCTATTCAAAATTTTTACCTACCTTCGAACAAATTTCCGTTAATTATCATGGCCAAAAGACCAAAATCGATAGAGTTAACACTTTGAAATATCTTGGAATATTTATAGACTCACATCTAAGGTGGGATAACCATATTAAATATGTTATCAAAAAAATTAGAAATGTTGCCTATAAACTCAAAATGCTTGCTAACATTCTTACAGAAAGTTATCTGCGAATCCTATACCATGCCTTAGTTGAAACCCATATAATATACGGCATCACAGCCTGGGGTGCCGCCTGCAAGACATATATTTCTGACCTGAATATAGCACAAAAAACTGTTGTGAAAGCCATTTTCCATAAGCCAAGATTTAATCCAACGAACAACTTATATCAAGAAACAGGGATACTTGATACAAGACAACTTCATTTCTTACATGCCACCACCTTATACCATAAGTATTGTAATAAAAAGAAAAAATCCTATAAACACGAGCATAACACACGAATTCGAATAAGCTCATCTAATATCCAAAGACCACACAAAACATTATTCAAAGAATCATTTAAATTCTTAGCAGCTAAATTATATAATATAGTACCAAACGAAATAAAGATACTTAATTTTGGAAAAAAATTTAGAAGTAAATTGAAAGACTGGGTTAGTAATGTGCAGCGAATGACTATACATAATTATATAGAAAACTAAAACTACAAAATTCCAATTACATTAATACCTTTTAGATTTAACAATAATTGTTATACACATATATGATTGATTGTTAGTTATTAAGATATAAACCACACACAGGCGATGCCTTCTGTGGTTTTCTCATATTTATTTGCCCATTTTTTGTATTTTGGCAAATAAATATTATTATTATTATTAATAATTAGTGATAGTCAGCTTATGTAGTAAAAATGAGTCGCCTTGAAAGTGGTTCTTTGGCTAATATTGATTGAAAAAAGTGTACCGCACAATATCGTTAAAGCCCATACGTCATTATGGAAACAGTTTACAGAATTTTGCCAGGCAAAGAAATACGAGCTACAAGTTTAGAGCAATTGAGCCTAATCCTGAAAGATTGGTCGTGGAATATGAAGAAAGAAAACGGCGAAAATTACAAAGAACTAGTTGTGAAGACAATGTGGAATACCGTTGCAAAACCTAAAAACCCAGAAATGCCTCTTATAGACTTACTAAACATGTCCCTATCTCTATTTGCCAAAAAATACAGCGTGTTTCCAGTTTCCATTGTCACCCTTTATACTTAAAAATAATAGTTACTGAAAACAAATCCATGAAGTGTGACGCTAATAGAAATCCTCAAGATCAATGCATTTTATTTCTCTGACTTACATAATCAATTTATCATGCATATCATCGAAAATCTCTGTCATTGCATATTTCAAAAGCTGCAGAACCTTTGACATATTTCAAAATGATCTTTATGCTTATTCGATCACTAATGTATTATTCATTAAAGTTTATCAATAACAACGAATTTCGTACAAACATTCTTTTAACCGTTCGGAAAGATTGTAAAGTCTCTTGAGTAACAAACAGACGCTATTAATTTCTCCATATATACTAAGTGACATATAAATCCGAACACCCAGTTTAAATGGTTTTATTTCAATAAAATTTTGTATGTGTACTTAATGAAGCATAATAAGTAAATGATAAAAATTTCAAAATGATTGCACTGCTTTAAAGCCCTTTGACCTTTAATAATGTGTGGATGCACCCTGATGTGCTACGCATTCTCCAACGCGCCTAGGCATGCTTCTGATCAGGTGGTCAATGTCCTCCTGTGGTATCTCATTCCAGGCAACCACCAACTCCTCTCGAAGTGCTTCTAGAGTCTGAGGAGGACGTTGCAAATTGAGCAATCTCCTACCCATCATATCCCACACGTGCTCAATTGGGGATAAGTCGGGAGATCTTGGTGGCCATGGTAACAATGTGACATCACTATGTTGAAAGAAGTCTATTGTGACTCTTGCAACATGTGGTCGGTTTCTAGAACTTCGTGGATATAACGCTGCGCGTTCATGTTACCTCTGATGAAGATTAATGGTGACCTGGAACCATAAGCTATACAAAACTGTGGATTCCTCCTTTCACCACGTCGCCTTCTAACCCTGGCACGACCATCGTGCATGCCTAAACAAAATCGAGACTCGTCATTAAAGACAATACTGTTCCATTCCCGATCCCAGAGTGACCGTTATCTGCACCACTCAAGGCGATTACGTCGGTGTTCTCGAGTTAAAGGGTGGATACAGTGTGGCCGGTATGAAAACAAGCTAAAACTTCTCATTCGTCGGTAAACACTTCGCATGCCAATAGGTCTTCCGTGTTCTGCAAACCATTCATTTGCAATGGACCTGGTAGTGGAGAAACGGTCCCTTAAGGCCAATAATCTTAGGCGGCGATCTTCACGGTCTGTTGTTCTACGGCGGCGTCCAGTGCCCCTTGCTCTTTGCGTACGGCCTTCTCGAAGCCATGCCTGACAACACCTAACCACAATGTCTACACTTCTTTGCACTCTAACTGCAATTGCCCGAAAAGAAAGTCCAGCTTCCCGAAGTCCCACTATACGGCCACTATCAAACTCACTAAGTTGACGAAATCGTACAGGTCTCCGTACTCTAGGCATCGTAACCGATCGTAAAGGACGTCAAGAACCAAAATCCGCCAACGTTGATTCTTTACTGCGGCTGAAATTTTCATTTTTAGAGCGTTAGTGAATTAAAAAAAAGCAGTATAAAAACCGGAATGTCCAACTGATAAGGCTGAACATTTTTTCACTTGTTATTTACAGTAAGATAAATACATTCACCAACTTTTATTAAAATAAAACCATTTAAACTGGGTGTTCGGATTTATATGTCACTTAGTATACATTAGAATATTATACAGATTCCTTTAAGACATCTTAAGGCCATGGTGGGCAATCGTAAAAAAATTATGTTAGTTGTATTTCGACTCTATAGGAGTTTATATCGATGCAGCAATATATCACGAAGTTTTCCATTGTCTTACAATTCGTTACTATGGATTATATTGTTTTTCGTTTTTTGTGGCCATAAGGGCATTAGATAAGATTGAGTTGAACATTATATGGGTGGTTCAAACGTTGCCGCTGCAACAAGATCCTATCTTCGTTTATTCTTAATATCGAACAGATTGTCCAAGTTCCTAACAAACTCTTTTTTGAAAAAAGAACTTTCATTTCTTTGGGACACCCTACGTTTTTTTTACAAACTCACATCAATTAATCAAACTCCGAACCTATCGCTAACCCAAGAACTGCCATCGAACAAAGTGTTCTGTACCTATACTTTCTAAATAAGATGATTTATTATTTCACACGCAAAGCTAATTTGCCTTATTCTCGATTCCAGATATTACGAGGCAACTGTGATAAACAGGCCCAGAAGACAGCATGTGTACGCCGTCAATTTGGACGCGGAGGTCAGATGTTTGACCTGCAGCATGGTGGTGGAAGGTCAGAAGTGTACGTTCGCCACGGCCTTCTTCGCGAAGACCTTCAAGTACTATACTAAGGAGTGCCAGGGGCCTAAGGCGCCGTTGGTTGTTATCGAGAACGCTGACGATGTAAGATTTTGTTGTCTAGCTGCGATGGTCCGCATGCTGATTACACTGATCAACAGCCAAAAAATATCCTAAATAAAATCAACAAAATATTACTATTTTTAATGTGCTAAAACCGGAATGAAACTTATTTTTTCAATATTAGTTCAAGTTTTACAGATACGGTAATTATATGTGTTCCTGCTGTGACAGTGTTAATACAGGGTTATCCAAATTAAGTGTCCACCATTGGTAACTTTGTTATTAGTAAAAATACAAAGTTGTTTAAATTAGCAAACTAGTAGCATTTTTGACGCTGGTAAAAATGAGAAATACAAAAAAACAATTGAGAGTCGTTATTTTGATTTTTTTCAGTAAAATAACATTTTTTTAAATGGAAACCCCTGTATATTATATTTTTTTCTGTTAAAGCATCAAATTTTAAACAAAAAAGTTCATAATGACTTTTCCGCTAAAGTCAAAAATAAAGTCAAAATAACGATAAATATTTTTAATTATTTGCAGTATTATAATATTAAGACGGCTATGAAAACAACATGGCGTTCGCGATTTGACAGCATTAAGATAAGCGACAAATTGTTAAACTGGACATACTCGCAACTAGAAGGCTTTGGAAAACAATGATAATCAAATAATGTCAAACATTAGTGTAAATACTTGTTTATAAGCTTTATTGTGTCATTAATTTAAAGAAAAATGTTCTCCCATGAAGAAAAGTGTGATATGTTAGAATGCTATTTAGTGTGCAGAAAATCCTCCTTGAGAGCAAGAGAATACTACAGTGAATTATATCCCGCTCGCATTCAACCGTATGAACGATATTTTCTGAGACTTTATCGAAAATTTAGGGGCAACGAAAATGTGTTTGCTAAAACAAGGGCAAAAAAAGAATTCATAATAAGCGAGGCCACGGAAATTGCAGTTATTGGATATTTTGAAGCTTATCGTGAGAATTCAATAGCAGATATTCTCAAGCACTCTAATTTCAGTTATGGTACTGTTCAAAGGATTTTAAAAAAATACAAATTTATTCCGTATAAGTACCGACCAGTTCAAACGCTTTTGGCAGGGGATCCAGAGAGAAGACTTGTTTTTTGCCATTGGTATCTTAGCTTCTGTCGCCAAAATGTAAATAACTTTCGTTACCTTTTATGGACAGATGAATCAAATCTTTCAAATTCTGGAATGTTTAATAAAAAAAACCACCATTATTGGTCAAGAGAAAATCTTTTGTTAGTACATCCAAGAGGCCCACAAGTCCGTTTCAGTTTCAACGTTTGGTGCGGTATAATTGGTTCAAAAATTGTTGGCCCGTTCTTTTATGAGGGAACCCTAACTGGTGAAAGATATGTGGAATTTATGTCAGAAATTCTGACTAATTTCTTAGACGAATTGGATCTTATAAGTAGACATCATCTGCATTTTCAGCAAGATGGCGCACCTGCCCACAACTCCAGAAGTACTTCATTTTCTAAGTACTACTTTTAATGATCAGTGGATAGGAACAAATGGCCCAATACAGTGCCCTCCCAGATCACCAGATCTAAACCCACTTGATTACTTCTTGTGGGGTTACTTAAAGAACCAAATTTACAAGCGAAGGTACGATAACCTTGACGCGTTAAAGACTGCAGTTAGGGAAAAGATAACCCAGATAGATGGTAGGACCATACTTAAGACAGTTCGAGCAGTTGAAAAACGTGCCCAAAAATGTATTGAAGAACAAGGTGGTGTTTTCGAGCATCTTCTTTAAAAAAAATTGTTATTGTATTTTGTAAGATTATAAGTTGATGTTGAAAATAAAGTTTGTCGATACAATTTAATTGTTTCAGATTGGAGGCCATAACTTCAACAATTTGTAACCTAGGAGAAAAGTTATTGTGAGCTTTTTTGTTTAAAATTTGATGCTTTAACAGAAAAAAATATAATATACAGGGGTTTCTATTTAAAAAAATGTTATTTTACTGAAAAAAATCAAAATAACGACTCTCAATTGTTTTTTTTATTTCTCATTTTTACCAGCGTTAAAAATGCTACTAGTTTGCTAATTCAAACAACTTTGTATTTTCACTAATACTGTAATTCACAAGAATGCACGTGCTACATTTTTATATTCGGCAAGGAAAGATGATGTAATCGGCATGATTGTGTTACGTTATACATACGTGTGCTTTATATTGTTTTATATTAGCCATTTTTTCCTCAGTTGGCTGACAGCGTTCATGCAAGATGTCTCGAAAGTGTATAAACAATCCAGATCAGTTTTGTTACGTGTGTGGTGATGTGACTTTTGCGTCTCAGAGACGGTCTATTACTCCACTAATAACAAAGGCATATCAGCTTTATTTCGGTTGTAAACTAGGTGATCAAGACAAACAGTGGGCACCCCACATCTGCTGTAATACGTGCTTCAAGTCTGAGGAGCTGGTTAAATGGCAAAAAAAGGTCTATGCGCTTTGCTGTCCCAATGGTTTGGAGAGAGCCTACAAATCATATTAATGGTTGTTACTTTTGCATGGTACCTTGTGTTGGACAAGCTACAGGTATGTTCAAGAAAAAAAATCGGTTATTAACTACCCAAACATACCATCTGCGATGAGACCTGTGCTTCACAGTGACGAAAATCCTATTCCAAAACCCCCAGAATCCTACACTTGCGAATCAGAAAACGAATCAGATCATGGCGATCGAGTGATTCGTCAGGAAGAAGATATGCCATCTGCGTCAAGAGATCCTGATTTTATACCGAGCACGTCATGCCACCAACCGCACAAAATAACAGTCAGAATTAAATGATCTTGTAAGAGATTTAGAACTTCCAAAATGTAAGGCTTGGATCAAGACTGCAGCAGTGGAACTTGTTAGAAGACGATGTTTCGGTATGTGTTTTTCGTAAACGCCACAAAGACTTAGAACCATTTTTCAATATGGAGAATAACTTGGTTTTCTGCAGTAACATTAACGGCTTACTGGCGGCTTTAAATATAAACTATAACCCAGAAGAATGGAGATTGTTTATAGACAGTTCAACATTGAGTTTAAAGGCAGTGTTATTGCATATTGGAAATATTTTACCATCTCTTCCTGTAGGGTATGCAGTTCACATGAAAGAATCATATGACAATATGAAGTACCTATTGACATGCATAAAATACGATGAGCACCAATGGCATATTTGTGGCGATTTGAAAGTTGTTGCACTTTTACTTGGGCTGCAGCTAGGCTACACAAAGTTTTGCTGTTTTTTGTGTGAATGGGACAGTCGGGCAAAGGCACTTCATTACACCAGTCAAAACTGGCCTGTTCGTCAATTCCTAGAGCCAGGTCAAAAAATGTACAGCATATGCCATTAGTAGATTCGAAAAAAAATTTATTACCACCACTGCATATCAGATTGGGCCTAATGAAAAACTTTATCAAGGCATTAGATAGAGATGGGTCAGCTTTTCAATACCTGCGTCAGAAATTTCCAAGACTAAGTGAGGCAAAGGTTAAAGAAGGTATTTTTGTTGGGCCACAGATTCGAAATATTTTGAAAGATACACAGTTTGAAAATACTTTAACAGGTATTGGAAAAACTGCTTGGAATGTTTTTCGTCTGGTGGTCACTAATTTCTTGGGAAATAGAAAAGCTGACAACTATAAAACCCTTGACAAAAATATGCTGTAATCATATCAAAATATGGGCTGTAATATGTCTCTTAAGATACATTTCCTAAACTCACACCTGAACTTTTTTCCTGACAATTGCGGAGCTGTAAGTGATGAGCACGGCGAACGTTTTCATCAGGATATTTCAACAATGGTGGAAAAATGAGACCAGGGAAAGTGGAATCCTTCCATGCTTGCAGACTACTGTTGGACTCTTGGTAGAGATGCTCCAGAAACGATCCATGAAAGAACAGCAAAAAGACAGCGCATATAGTGATTCTTATAAGTATATGAATCTTGTTACTTTTTTTAATATATCCCTAAAAATAAAAAGTTTTTTTTCTAAACCGCAACTAATTTTTTTATTTCATTGTCATTTTTGGATTCAGCGCCCCAAAATTAACAAAGAAGTGCACTTTTCCCACAAGATACAATTAAAAAACTAAAATTTGTTGTCCAGTGTTATGTCATATGGCGTCAAGTAGCTTGACCCAGGAATAAGCTCTCAACCTACAATTTTCATCCTCTTAAAACAGTGTCTGAAAATGAGCAGGAATCTCGAAGCGCCATCTATCACGCCAGTATCGATCACGGCGTAAAGCGCATAGCGAAAGCATCATGTTTCGTTTAAGTTGACTCATAAAGGATATTTTTTGGTAAAAGTTAGACCGTCTGAGAAGAAAGTTAGCTAACCAGTGAAACAGAGGATACAACTAGACCATACGCAGCCCTACCGGTAGTATCGCCCATCTGGCAACGTTGCTTCTCTCCTCATACCTCACTGTTTGAGGAATCATCAGACTCGTCGGCAGTGTTGCCGAAGCTACTAATATTTCGGTATGTCTACCGAAATGGGAACTTATTTACTGATATACCGAAAACGTCCGATATTTCTGGAGTTTTTATTGAAAAAAAGCTGGAACCAAACTAAATAAATTAATGAACGAAAATGGCCTTGAGAAAAAACTGGAAAATATTATCGAGTTTCTCAAATGGCCGCTAGGGGGCGTTACTGCAATCTTGAATCTAAAAAAGTGATGTTTCTGTGAATTCCGCTATATTAACATAACAAAAATCACCTGATCTTCAAAGTCAGGAATAATGTGAATATTTTTTGATTGACAATGATTGCGGTATCTCTAGAGATAAGGTGGTGAGGGGCATTCAAAGGTTACCGTAAAAAACACCCTGATTTTAACAAACTCGGGGCAGCCGAAAAGAGCTATTATTGGGTTATAAATGCTAGCAAGGGTTAATTTTCTTGAAAAAATTAAATGCAGTGATATGATTTCTTAGATGAAAAAGTAGCTAGATGATGTCTAAACGAGCTCGCAAAAACCGCATTTCGATATCTTGTTTCTAACCTAAAATGGCATGGTTTTTCGTAATGTACACGTGATATAATATAAAAAACACATAGTCTTATTTTCGAATTTTTTTGTCGCGATTGCAATACTTTCTCACCAGGGGCGTAGGAAGTAAAAATCTCAGTCTGACACCTGCAATTGTGAAGTCCGCACTAAGTACTACACTCTTTAGCTATCCTTCATGCCGCAACCTGTGAAGGAGTAGCGCAACTGTCGTTTTGCTGGTATTTGCCTAGACCACCGCAACCCGCATTGCGCTGCTATGTTTTATGGGTTGCAGGCTTGTAGGGTACGATTTGGCGCATACCTCTGAACGTTGGAGATATGACCGGCTATAAAGATAGCAACATCTGGATTAACGCCAGAAAAGAGACTAAACTGCACCATATCTGAAAATTGTATGCAAACAAAAAATAATTCTTTATAGGTAGAGATCCTTTGTATATATTTATAATATATTTTGATGAAGCTTATTGCATACCATGTGGTCTCTGTTGATATGAGGCGAGTGTCACACGAACAATATTTACTGATTTACTTGCTGATTGATCCAACAGTGGATTTCTACGAATCCGTATACATCAATTATTACTAACCTGACTACACGGTCAATAAATATACTGATAGTTTATAGTAAATCGTGTGACATTACTTTAAGCTTGCAGGGCATCAAATCCTTTAAAACAAGAAGTTTTAATTTTATTCTTTTGCAGCCTTTTGATTACTTACTATGGGAAGATAATGAAGATCTACGCGCCAAGTTAGCCACAAAATGGGTTCCAGAACCTAAGTACCTGAGCGTCCCTATACAAGGCAAAGATGGAAACAACTTCACGGCCACAGTAGAAATACTTATACCTCCTACATTGGGCTTACCTTCCAGGAAAAAACTACCAGCAGTTGTCGAAACGTGAGAATCTACATTTTATAAGCAAGAATTCATTGTTTCTTGTATATTTTATCAGTCATCTTGATGTAGGGACATAACAAGCGATAGTCAGACATTTTTTGTAAGACCTTGTAAAGTTCGAACCTGTTAGGTCTTTCGTATAGGGAGCAATGCTTTTTCGTTCAGGGCAAAGTAACTCGACTCAATGATCTGTTAAATACGTCAAACTTCAATTTTCCGGTGTGATCCTTTAGGTATGCAGGACCTAATACCAATAAGGTCCTGGAAAGGTACAACATAGACCTTGCCACATACCTGGTCAGTAACAGGGAATACGTCCACATCCGTATAGATGGCAGAGGAAGTGGTAGAGATGGTCTCAATAAGATGTTTCAAATGTATAGGAGATTAGGAACGGTGGAGATTGAAGACCAGATCCAGGTAACAAAGTATGTCAATACGTCAAAATGTAATATGTCGAAATATGATTGATTGCTTGTGTCCGATTTTTTGACAAAAAATGATATTCTAACCAACAACCACTCTTGATTTGGCACCGCGTGACTATTTTCTGTTCGGTAAACTACATTGGGCCATGAAGGAACAGCGGTATGCTGAACGTAGAAACCATCCAAAGCCGTCGACGACCATTTTGAAGAACATCCTGGTCAATGAGCTATAACACTGATCAACAGCCAAAAAACATCCTAAATAAAATCAACAAAAAAATTACTATTTTTAATGTGCTAAAACCGGAATGAAACCTATTTTTTCAATATTAGTTCAAGTTTTAGAGATACGGTAATTATATGTGTTCCTGCTGTGACAGTGTTAATATACTGTAATTCACAAGAATGCACGTGCTACATTTTTATATTCGGCAAGGAAAGATGATGTAATCGGCATGATTGTGTTACGTTATACATACGTGTACATTATATTGTTTTATATTAGCCATTTGTTCCTCAGTTGGCTGACAGCGTTCATGCAAGATGTCTCGAAAGTGTGTAAACAATCCAGATCAGTCTTGTTACGTGTGTGGTGATGTGACTTTTGCGTCTCAGAGGCGGTCTATTACTCCACTAATAAGGCATATCAGCTTTATTTCGGTTGTAAACTAGGTGATCAAGACAAACAGTGGGCACCCCACATCTGCTGTAATACATGTGCTTCAAGTCTGAGGAGCTGATTAAATGGCAAAAAACGGTCTATGCGCTTTGCTTTCCCAATGGTTTGGAGAGAGCCTACAAATCATATTAATGATTGTTACTTTTGCATGGTACCTTGTGTTGGACAAGCCACAGGTATGTCCAAGAAAAAAAAATCGGTTATTAACTACCCAAACGTACCATCTACGATGAGACCTGTGCCTCACAGTGACGAAAATCCTATTCCAAAACCCCCAGAATCCTACACTTGCGAATCAGAAAACGAATCAGATCATGGCGATCGAGTGATTCGTCAGGAAGAAGATATGCCATCAACGTCAAGAGATCCTGATTTTATACCGAGCACGTCATGCCACCAATCGCACAAAATAACACAGTCAGAATTAAATAATCTTGTAAGAGATTTAGAACTTTCAAAATGTAAGGCAGAGTTACTTGGATCAAGACTGCAGCAGTGGAACTTGTTAGAAGACGATGTTTCGGTATGTGTTTTTCGTAAACGCCACAGTCAGAATTAAATAATCTTGTAAGAGATTTAGAACTTTCAAAATGTAAGGCAGAGTTACTTGGATCAAGACTGCAGCAGTGGAACTTGTTAGAAGACGATGTTTCGGTATGTGTTTTTCGTAAACGCCACAAAGACTTAGAACCATTTTTCCATATGGAGAATAACTTGGTTTTCTGCAGTAACATTAACGGCTTACTGGCGGCTTTAAATATAAACTATAACCCAGAAGAATGGAGATTGTTTATAGACAGTTCAACATTGAGTTTAAAGGCAGTGTTATTGCATATTGGAAATATTTTACCATCTCTTCCTGTAGGGTATGCAGTTCACATGAAAGAATCATATGACAATATGAAGTACCTACTGACATGCATAAAATACGACGAGCACCAACGGCATATTTGTGGCGATTTGAAAGTTGTTGCTCTTTTACTTGGGCTGCAGCTAGGCTACACAAAGTTTTGCTGTTTTTTGTGTAAATGGGACAGTCGGGCAAAGGCACTTCATTACACCAGACAAAACTGGCCTGTTCGTCAATTCCTAGAGCCAGGTCAAAAAAAATGTACAGCATATGCCATTAGTAGATTCGAAAAAAAAATTATTACCACCACTGCATATCAAGTTGGGCCTAATGAAAAACTTTGTCAAGGCATTAGATAGAGATGGGTCAGCTTTTCAATACCTGCGTCAGAAATTTCCAAGACTAAGTGAGGCAAAGGTTAAAGAAGGTATTTTTGTTGGGCCACAGATTCGAAATATTTTGAAAGATACACAGTTTGAAAACACTTTAACAGGTATTGAAAAAACTGCTTGGAATGATTTCCGTCTGGTGGTCACTAATTTCTTGGGAAATAGAAAAGCTGACAACTATAAAACCCCTGTCAAAAATATGCTGTCATCGTATCAAAAGATGGGCTGTAATATGTCTCTTAAGATACATTTCCTACACTCACACCTGGACTTTTTTCCTGACAATTGCGGAGCCGTAAGTGATGAGCACGGCGAACGTTTTCATCAGGATATTTCAACAATGGAAAAAAGGTAGCAGGGAAAGTGGAATCCTTCCATGCTTGCAGACTACTGTTGGACTCTTGGTAGAGATGCTCCAGAAACGATCCATAAAAGAACAGCAAAAAGACAGCGCATACAGTGATTCTTATAAGTATATGAATCTTGTTACTTTTTTTAATATATCCTTAAAAATAAAAAGTTTTTTTCTAAACCGCAACTATTTTTTTTATTTCATTGTCATTTTTGGATTCAGCGCCCCAAGATTAACAAAGAAGTGCACTTTTCCCACAAGATAGAATTAAAAAACTAAAATTTGTTGTCCAGTGTTATGTCATATGGCGTCAAGTAGTGAATCATCATTCGAAAATATTTTGTCCCATGGATAAAATAAATTCGACTTTCCCAAACAAAAATGTTGGTTAATTTTTTCTTTGTCCAGTTTACTTTGTGACAGACCTTGTATGCTGCTGGATTTGTGAATAGTCCAGGCCTAAAACCGTGTTGGTTTGCTGACAAAATTTGGTCTTCGGTGACGAAGTTGTTTAGCCTATGGTGGACAATTGCTTCAAATAATTTGAAAAGAAAAAAAAGATACTAAAACATGCTGATCTATTCCTGTTGATCTTTTTAGGAACATATCTGTGAAACACACATGTCTTCATCATTTGATGTAATTTTTTGAATAACTATTCTTAGAATCGATCACAGCGATGATGACGGAAATCCTACCAAGCGCAACGTACCCGACTTTGTCAAGCAGTCCCCTCTTGCAGTACTCTGTCCTTGAACGTGGCTCTAAGACGTCCATAAGACGTCTTAATAGTGACCTCCGATATTCGTTAATAAATAATCGGTCATCTAGGGCTGATGACTGGGCATGACCTTGAAATAACGTTCATATGACGTACCCATAGAAGTCAGTCTGCTTTTAAGCTTATATACTATTTCTTTGTTCCATTGTAGGTATTTGCAACAGAAACTGAAGTTTATCGATAAAAGAAAAATAGGAATTTGGGGCTGGAGCTACGGAGGATTTACCTCCAGTTGGGTTCTAGCAAAAGACTCAACCAAAGTGTTCAATTTTGCTATAGCCGTTGCACCAGTTACGAATTTTCTATTATATGGTAAGTTCCCTATTTAAGTCACGAAGAACCATGGGGTGGTACTACCTCCTTCGACGGAAAACCGTCAAGGAGTTCACGTATGTTATGTATAACAACCTTCCTTTTTGTGGATTCCACAGGGATCAATTCTGCTTTTCTCACTGTTTCGACTCCTATCAATGATCTCTCTATAAAATAGCATATAACACGTCTTGACGTATGAGCTGTGTCTTTTTTTACAGATACGATGTATACGGAGAGGTTCATGGGCCTACCTACATCTGAAGATAACGAAATAGGATACAATAGTACCGACTTGACAAGAATAGTTGAGAATTTTAGGGGTCGTCGGTACTTTTTAATTCATGGAAATGCGGATGATAACGTACACTATCAGAACTCTATGCTATTATCGCGAGCTTTAGAACTGGAAGACATAGATTTCAAGCAAGTGGTAAGCTTTTATAGAGTTTTGATCGACAATTTTATGATGCTATGACAATATAAGTGTATCTCACAAGAAATACTGATAGAAGGAACCTGTTGAGTTCTGTTGCCTGAGAATCGCTATAAAAAATTTTACCGGTCAAAAAAGCGTGCTCAAGTTCATTACAAAATGGTAAAGTTTTGATAGCCAAGTGGGATTTATCTTATTTAAAGAATTTCAAATACGTAGTTTTTTCAACTAATGACTTGTTTGTTTTCAGAGCTATCCAGATGAAAACCATGCACTGATATACGTCAGACCTCATTTGGATCACACTATTGACAAATATATTGCAAGATGTTTTGGAGTATACGAGCCACCTATTACGTCATATAATAATGACAATGACACATTTACAGAATAAATTTCGGAACTTAGGTGAGACACTCTCTTGTAAAACTTGTGAGAGAACAAATACAATAATTTTCTGTCAAGAATGTGTTTTTCTAGAGTTCATTCTGCACCTTAAGTCGATATTCTTGCTTTTTAATCCAGATTTTAGCGTAAAAAGACAATATATTTTAAGCGCACTGTATGTCTGAAGAGTTCCGGAACCCCACGATAATTTGACCTGGACCATGACCTTTAAGGGCATTTGAAAGTCGAATCGATTTTTTCAAAAGGAACCCTCGATTTTGACCCCGTAAATGGAAAGGACAAGAAATTTGACGTTCAAATATTGCCTTGACCAAGTTTTGACCTTACGAGGTCACGGTCAAGGTCAAACCCAGGTACGGTGATATAACTCGAAAGCCGGTACTCATATTAGGAAACTTCACAGGTATGATTTTCATGATTTTTTCCCGGATATCCAATAGTGACCTTGGATGTGACCTGAATCCTGATGACTTTCAAACTCACGTGAAGGCCAAGTCGTTTTTTGTAGCCAAATAACAGTTAAGTCTGTTTATCTGGGAATTACACAGTTTTCTGAATTATCAAGGAATCAAAGTAAACTTGATGGTGAAGTCCTAGGTCAAGCTACAAAAATGGTCAAGGACATATTCAACATAAAATTTTCCCGTTTCTCCGTTTTCGCAGTCAAAGACATACGGTCCCATTGAAAAACAAGTGTCCTTCAAATTACCTTGATAACTAAGGTCAGATCCAAGGTCACTATTAGATATCCGGGGCATAATGTTGAAGAAAATGTTCCAGTAGTTTCCCTATACGACTCCTGGGTTTCAAGTCATATCACCGTCCCAAATTTGACCTGAACCACGACCGTCAAGGTCATTCCAAGGTCAGGTAGATTTTCCTGGACGGCACCCCTTTTTTGACCCCGTAAATGAAAAGAGCTGGAACTTGACCATTCCTAAATATTGACCTTAGGAGGTCATGCTCCTTGAAAACCAGCGGTCATATAGAGAAATTATTATATCCATGATTTTGCCCTGGATATCCAAAAACGGCCTTGGACCTGACTTTAACCTTGATGATCGTCAAGGTCATGTGAAGGTTAAATCGGTTTTCAGCCAGAGAACAATCTTGAAAGAATAGTGAAGGCAGTTTATCTGGGAATTACACAGTTTTCTGAATTATCAAGAAATCAAAGTAAACTTGATGATGAAGTCCTAGGACAAGCTACAAAAATGGTCAAGGACATATTCAACATAAAATTTTCCCTTTTCTCCGTTTTCGCGGTCAAAGACAAACGGTCCCATTGAAAAACAAATGTCCTTCAAATGACCTTGATAGTCATGACTAAGGTCAGATCTGAGGTCACTATTAGACATCCGGGACATAATGTTGAAGATAATGTTCCAGTAGTTTCCCTATACGAGTCCTGGGTTTCAAGCTATATCACCGTCCTAAATTTGACCTGGACTACGACCGTCAAGGTCATTTCAAGGTCAGGTAGATTTTCCTGGACGGCACCCCTTTATGACCCCGTAAATGAAAAGAGCTGGAAATTGACCATTCCTAAATATTGACCTTAGGAGGTCATGCTCCTTGAAAACCAGTGGTAATATAGAGAAATTATTATATCCATGATTTTGCCCTGGATATACAAAAAACGACCTTGGACCTGACTTTAACCTTGATGACCGTCAAGGTCATGTGAAGGTTAAATCGGTTTTCAGCCAGAGAACAATCTTGAAATTATAGTGAAGTCAGTTTATCTGGGGATTAAAACAGTTTTCTGAATTATCAAGAAATTGAGGTGAACTTGTGTTTGACTTTGATGGTCAAGTCCAAGGTCAAGTTACAAAAATGGTCAACAACATATTCGAACCTTTCCCTTTTCCGCGGTCAAAAGCATTGGGTCTCATTGAAAAAGTAATGACCTACAAATGACCTTAGAAGTCATGGCCAAGGTCGTATACAAAGGCACGATTGGGCATCCGGGGCAAAATCATGAAAACAATGTTAGAGTAGTTTCCCTATACGACTACTGGTTTCCAAGGTATACCACCGTCTTGGGTATGACCTTGCTCATGACATCCGAAGGTCAAAATTCAAGATTGTCGACACCACATTTGAACGTAGAATTCTCCGTTCTTTTTATTTACAAGGTCGAAAAATAGGGGATTCCATTTAAAAAATCGACTTGCTCTTTAACTGATCTTGAATGTCATGGTTAAGGTCAAATTCAAGGTCACCGTTGGATATCCGGGGAAGAAAACTCCTATCAGTCGCGTGGCTTCTCTTTTTCCTACCGTAATGACCTAATGCAATCATAGCAGGTGTGATGATCTATTTAAAACTTCTGCTAACGTCATCTCCGCGTGTACAGTGAATTGAGAAACTTTTAGTTCGAATACATGAATATCTCGCGCTGTACAACTTTTATATTCTCTGCTGGTATGCTAGGAAACAGCGGCAGGTATCGATGTACCTGGTTTTACCGCACATAGTTCGACAAAGCGAACTTTGCATATCAACGTTGTTTTTGTGATTTCATTTTCTATACTCTGCATTTAGTATGATACTGCGCTCTTTAGCGTGCATATAACTACGAATTGGAATAATACAACGACACTGTTAAAAAGCCGGATTTTCTTTTAGAGGTATCGCTAATCGGGTAAATCGAAACAAAGTTAAAATTTTAATCACTTTAGTATTTATCAGTAGACCTGAAACTGGTGAAAGTATGCTCAACATTACAGCACTCCTAGTCGGTGTTGCATTATCTAACGGGTGATTTTTTAAGAGGTATAGGATTTGATTTTCAAAAAAAACACAATAAGTTTGAAAAGACGATTAAATCTTTATTTGAGTCGATAGAACGGTCGATATAATTTAATGTTTAAAGATTATTTCATGTAAATGTTGGCCGCGGCTCCGCTTTAGATGACCCATGCGCAAGGTCCAATTTTGGCACACTCTCTCCAACATATCGGCCGGTATCTCACGAACAAATGCTTCAATATTGGCTTCCAGTGCGTCAATCGTTGCTGGTTTATCGCTGTAGACATTAGCCTTAACATGGCCCCACAAGAAATAGTCCAACGGCGTTAAATCACACGATCTAGGCGGCCAATTGACGGGCCCCAAACGTGAGATAAACTGTTCACCGAACTCATCTCTCAATTGAGCCATTGTTTCGTGTGCGGTGTGGCATGTGGCACCGTCTTGTTGAAACCACATGTCAGCCAAGTCCAGCTCTTCCATTTTGGGCAAAAAAAAGGTTGTTATCATCGCACGGTAGCGCTCGCCATTCACAGTTAGGTTCCGGCCATTGTCGTGTTTGAAGAAGTACGGCCCGATGATGCCACCGGCCCATAATCCACACCAAACAGTGATTTTTTCGGGATGCGTTGGTAGCTCTTGCAATGCTTCTGGCTGGTCTTCACTCCAGATGCGGCAATTTTGCTTGTTAACATACCCATTCAACCAGAAATGAGCTTCGTCGCTGAATACAATTTTTCGATAAAAATGTGGATCTTCCTCCAACTTTGCCAGCGCCCATTCACCAAATTGGAAACGTTGTCGGAGGTCGTGTGGCTTCAATTCTTGCACCAGCTGTATCTTATAAGGTTTTACACCCAAATCCTGTCGCAAAATTTTCCACGTAGTGGAGTAACAGAGGCCCAATTGCTGCGAACGGCGGCGAATCGACATTTCACGATCATCACTAACACTGGCGGATACAGCCGCAATATTTTCTTCAGTCCTCACTCTACGTCTGCGTGTTGGTGGTTTAATGTCCAATAATGTAAACTGGGTTCGAAATTTAGTCACAAGCTTCCGAATAGCTCCGTCAGTAGGCCGACCAAATTGCCCATAAATTGGAAGCAGTGCTCGATGCACTCTCTTAACCGAGCATGAATTTTGATAGTTAAATTCAATAATTTGCAAGCGTTGTTGGTTCGTAAGTCGATTCATGGTTAAATTATAGACCAAACTGAACAAGTTTGACAATGACACAAGACACGATTCACGCGTCATCTGTCAAAAACAGTGTTGCCAAAAAGATACTAGCAAAAAAATCACCCATTATGTGATTCAGTATATTTGCATGTATATACTGAATCGAATGGATAATGAAATAAATAAAAAAAATATCTTGATCCTTCGCAAAACCATTCCTCAGTCTCCTACAAACCTACAAAATATTCTATATGATGAACTTTTCTTTGATGCAACTGTTTTAAGTGCTTGAGAACATAGCTCTTTGAAGCAATCCTATCTGAGCGATATATCAATAGGACGGCATTTTGTATAAAAGAACCAACCCAGAACTACATTTATTACGCAATTAGGCATTAAAGTTTTGACAATGATAAAAAATTCTCTTTAGATCAAAAACGATTTTAATTAATGGCATACTAAAAGCTTTGAATATATGTATACAGGATGTAAACGTAGTCATTATTCAAATGGGTAATAGGGGGAGGTCAAAACAAGTCAAAAAGTTCATATGACCCATGGTCCAAAAGTCAATAGATTTTTGTCTATATGGCTTTATGGTTTCATAATAATAATAAATAATCTTTATTTCAAAATAATAATGCACAATTACAACGTAATGTCCGCTGTCAGGTGAAATATACGTCACAGTCGTAGCTGTATATCGACCACAATCACCACAATCTTACTAATTTCTATAAACTAATCTAAAACGTTCTTAAATTGGGTAATTAACAAATAAACGGCATTGAGTTTTTCTAAGCTAAGCCAAAATTTGTAGTCAGTAAGTATGTAACTTTCATTAAATTAAATATTTAAAACACACATGACACCAGCGCTTCGGTCGCTCTTATCGAACCGGCAATCCATCGCAAACGGTAACAGTGGTTAGTTATTGTTCGCGTACGTCGTCGTGTTTATTTACAATGTTCTTGAATCAAGAGTTCGCCGACATGTTGTTAGTTTACGGTGAAGCTCGTCAGAATTCAAATCTTGCAGCTCACCCAGGCAGAAGGACATTTGTGCAAGTGTACCAAAGACTTCGAGATACAGGAAGTGTTCGGCCCTCTAATATTCGCACTCC